AGACTCGCTTGAGCCCAGGAGTTGGAGGTTGCTGTGAGCTGTGATGCCACAGCACTCTACCCAGGGTGACAGCTTGAGGCTCTGTCTAAAAAAAAAGAAGCTTGATTATTTTACACCTCCACCAGCAATTCATGAAGGTTTCAATTTCTTCACATCTCCCACATTTAGTATTGTTCATCTTTTTTATTACATCCATTCTAATATGTGTGAAGTTATTTAATTATGATTTTGATCTTATATTTCCCTGATGACTAATGATATTAAGTATCTTTCTGTGTGCTCATTGACCAACTGTACATCTTTCTTGGAGAAATGTGTATTCAAGGGGCGGTGCCTATGGCTCAAAGGAGTAGGGCGCCAGCCCCATATGGTAGAGGTGGTGGGTTCAAACCAGCCCCAGCCAAAAACTGCAAAAAAAGAAAAGAAAAGAAAGAAAGAAAGAAATGTGTATTCAAATCTTCTGCCCATTTTTAAATTTAATTTTTTGAGTTATAAGACATAGATCAACAGTATACTAAACCTTATCAAATATATGACTTGAAAATGTTTCTACCACTCTGTGGACTGTTCTTTCACTTTCTTCATGGTGTCCTTTGTAGCACAAAAGATTTTTATTTTGGCAAATTACATTTTTTCTATTTTTTTCTTTGAGTTTTCAGCTTTGGTCGTCACATTTATTAAAAGCTATTTTTTAAATCCAAAGCTACAAACATTTATATCTATGTTTTCTTCTAAGATATTTATAATCTTGATCCTCACATTCAGGGTTTTGGTCTACTTTAAGTTAATTATTATATGTAGCATGAAGTAGAGGTTCAACTTCATTCTTTTGCATGCAGATATCCAGTTGTTCCAGAGTAGGTTGTTGAAAAGACCTATTGCAATTTTTTTGTTCAAATTTGTTTTGTGTTAAAATCACTTGGAGAACCTGGTGAAAATACTCAGGCTTGGGCCCTGTCTTGCTACGATGAGCCTGAGTACCCAAGGTCTTTATTAGTACTCTAAGTAATTCTGATATACTAGAATTATAAAAAAAGATTTAAGAACCTCTGTTCCAGAGTAACCAGAAATTTAAAAAAAAAGAGAGAGAGAGAGAAAAGGCAAGAAGAATTAAAAAAGAAAGCTAAGACATAAGTAACATAGACAAAAAAAGTAATCCAACAAATGAAAATCAACTACCCCCTCCTTAGTATTAAAATGTAAAACATAAATGTTTGGTCATCCAGCAAAAAGGGGAAGCAGATAGACAAAATGTCAAGCAAAAAATGCTTTGAAGAAGAAAATTGTTCAAATTTTAACAGTTCAAATTGTCCCATCAACTCTCTATAGATTTACACTAGCTTTCTTTCCCTGTCAGAGCATGCACACACACACACACACATCCCCCCTCAAGTATGTGTGTGGCTGTCTGTATTTGCCCTACTCTCCTGCCAAATGGTTCAACATTCTATCAGTCCACCTTTAAAAAGTTAATAAGTGAGATTAGCAATAGCAAATTAGGGTATTTTGAATATAACAAGAACACATCTTAAATTTGAAAATGCTGTGTTTGCATGTGTTTTCCTGTGAATTACCTAAGTACAAGGAAGACTGACAAAGGTCCAGCACTAGATCACAGATAACAGGGGCCCAGAGGCTACCACTGGATACATGGATCTTGTCTCCAAGGTCAAATGTGTTTCCTTACTTCATGAATTAATAAAAATGGGAAACACTCCTAGAATGTTTATATCCAATCATCCCCATGACACATGGAGTGGATAACAAAGAATCAGTACTGCACGGCCAAAGCAACCTCTTAGTTTCACCACTCGAATAAGAGCCCAAGGACACAGAAGAGGCAACAGACAGTGTTTCCAGTGCAGAATCTCTGACTGGATGATCCCTCTTACCTGCAGCAGCTCCAGTGTTGACCACTGACCTCGACACTCCAGTTCTGAGATGAGCTCTTTCACCAGTTGGCTCTGCTGAACTACCTCATCCTCAGCCTCTGACAGCTTGTCCAGTGTCATCATCTCCTCTTCTTCCAGTCTTTGTAGCTCTCTCTGCTCCTCACGATTGAGTACGCTTCTAAGCTGATTAAATTCGGCTTGAATCCTTTGTCTCTCAGTCTGTATCTGATGCTGCAAGGATGATCAAGGGACAGAGAGGTAAGGAGTCTGCCAGGCTAAGGCCTGTGAAAGAAATTAGGAGCTAGGAAAAGAAACGTTTTCTATGGATTTCAAACCAGGAGGGGAGTAGTAGCAGGAGAGTAATTAGGGGAAGGGGTAGTTGTGTTTTTCCTATTATTTTCCCTTCAGCACCTACCAAAACAATGACCTCAGGTCAACTCTGAGATAAAAAGAGTCTTAGTCTAGGGCAGCGCCTGTGGCTCAAAGGAGTAGGGTGCCGGCCCCGTATGTTGGAGGTGGCAGGTTCAAACCTAGCCCCGGCCAAAAACTGCAAAAAAAAGAGTTACAGATTAAAGGAGACTAAAGGGACATAATAACTAAATGTGACTGGTGAGCCTTGATTGGAGTCTTAAAAAATAAATTAAAAAAACAAAGAGTCTTAGTCTATAGATAGCTGTCCTAGTCACTCATGACTTTCTATATTACCACGCTCTCAATTTGAACCCTGATAAAAAGCCTAATGCCTTGCCAGTGCCTTCTCCCAGAGGTATCAGAGCCTCCTTGGAAAAGAACTGAAACACAGTATTTTCCAGCCTTCCCCACCATTGAGTCCACCGTTGTATTCAATTCCAAATATCTGTATGTACTTATAACATGCCCACTTTCCAGCCCCCAGCCCCAACAAGGATAGGACAAAAATGAAAACTAATGGTTTCAAGACTCTCATTCTAATGTCAGAAAACAAAGAGGAGGTCTCCTTGGATGAGGTCAGAAATCCTCAAAAGGAGTTCTTTCCTGCCTTCCAGGAAGTTCTCTCGTTACTGATGTCAGCTTCCAACTTCTCAGCTTCCTGCTGTTCTTTCTTTAGCCTCTTGATGACATCCTGGAGCCTCTCCTGAGAGAAAACAATCATACCAGAGTCATGTTATAAGCATTCTCAGCATCTGGATAGGGGACAGCTAGGTAAGAAACTAAATTGATCCCAGAAAGATCATTTTACAGAAACTATTAAGCTGGTTATTAGAATCTATGACATGGGAAAAAATCTGAGAAGGTGAACCCATCTGCAGTACATACCCATCCTGCAGAAAGGAAAGTCCTTTCCTCTTATCATTGCTCTTCATTCACTCAATTACACTATCCCCAGCAATCATCCCTCTGAGTGGAATAATAACAGCTAACCCTGGGAAAGAATTCACCAGTCATACAATGAACAGGGAGGGGTGAAAACCCCAAGAAACCTCTTACTCTCAGCTGATAGACTGCTAATACCCTAGGCTCATTCTTATGTAAATGAAAGGAATGATCAGAAATGTATTCCAGGCATTGGAAGCTTAGCGTACGGTAAAAGATGTATAAGGAATAAGATCACAGGACAAATGGTTAGGGTGCTGAGAGGAGTAAAGAAGTACAGAAAGGTGAGATTTCCCAGCACGTGCCATTTGCTGCCCTGTCTCTTTCCATCCAGGACCCTACCTGACATTCCTTGCCTAGCTCCTCCACGAGGAATGTGTGGTGACCACGGTGCTCCTGAGACCGCTCACAGAGCCAGCAAATGACCTTCCCATCCTCCTTACAGAAGAGCAGGAGTTTCTCTCCATGGCGTTCACAGAGATCTCCTTTCTTCCCATAGTCTGGGCTCAACTGGCTCAACTTGACTTCCCTGAGTCTCTCCACTGTGTTGGCCAGATGCTGATTAGCCCTTAGGTTCTCAAGTGAGTATCTGATACCACACACAGGGCAGCTGCTTGCCCCTCCTGGGCCAATAGCTGCCTCCTCGTCATTCACAGTGATGCAGGCTCGACATAAGCTGTGGCCACACCTGAGGCTCAAGGGTTCTGTCAATAGCTTCAGGCAGATGGGACAGGTCACCTCCTTTTCCATATTCAGCAGGATTTTTGAAGCCATTGATTGCACTGCTCCCCTGGCTTCTTCCTGTCCTAACTTCTGAGGTTCTTCTTGCTTAAACACTCCTAGATGACTGGACAGATAGAAAGTGGATAGTGTAAAAATAGTACAGATAAAAGGGATTCTAACTTGTGAACATCACAGCTGGGTCAAAATTACAATAGTGGATGACAAAAAAGGAGAAGAGTGAACAACCAGAAATGCAGTTCAGTAGCCTGGGTAAGCCACTATTGCCTTCAGGCTTTTGCACTTCCCCCTTGCTCGACCTGGAATGACCCTCCTGTTGATATTTGCATGACCTTCTCTTTTACTTCCTTCAACTCCCTCGTCACATGTCCCCTCATCAGTAAGGCCTGCTGTGACTGACTTATCCACAGTACAAACAAAATCATTATTCAGTGTACATTTGCCATCTTTCTCTTATTATCACCACATAAAACATGTCATCTGTATTCAAAAATATCTACTTTCCTCTTCTAATATAATCCATGAATACATTATGCATTTTACTTTTTTCATTGTTGTATCCTGACTGTTTAGAATACACAGAAACACAATGTTTGATGACTATACAAAGAACCTCCACATCCGGCAGTGCCTGTGGCTCAAAGGAGTAAGGTGCTAGCCCCATATGCCAGAGGTGGCGGGTTCAAACCCAGTCCCGGCCAAAAACTGCAAAAAAAAAGAACCTCCACATCTTTCTGTAGATGTACCTTTCCTAAGTTCACTTTTTCTTTCCACAATTTAGAATTCTCTAATAGCTGAATTTGGGGACCACAGATATGGTTTCCAGTGAAGAAGTGTTTACCTTGTAACACATCTACCCACACAGAGCCCTTCCATGTCCTCACACACTTCCCAGAGATACCCACAGAAACAGCAATGATCACAACATAGAGATAATTTTATCACCAATAATTGTGTAACAATTTTGAAATTACTTTGTCCTATTTGTTCATGGTCCAAAAATCCTTAAGGAATATGAATACTCCCTTTCTTTTTATTTATTTATTATTATTTTCTATTTATTTATTTATTGCAGTTTGGGGCCAGGGCTGGGTTTGAACCTGCCACCTTCAGCATATGGGGCCAGCGTCCTACTCCTCTGAGCCACAGGTGTCGCCCAATACTCCCTTTCTTTATGGATAAATAGAATTAAGTGACTTGCAAAGATCATCCCACTCAAGAGGCAGAATTAGTGAACATTACTCTCTTGGGTCTTCTTTCTGAGTTCTGCATTCTACCTCACATATTTAAACAAAAGCAAAGAGATGAAGCTCAAGGGAAGCAGACTGGTATCTAATGCACTGAAAGTATAAAAATAGAGGAATCCAGGCAAGCTGATAAGTTTGGGATGTGTGTGTATTGGAGTGGGGGTGGGGGGCATCTTGTATTTATTGACAGTAAGATTGTATCTTGGCCCAGAAATATGTCAAAGATGCTGACAGGAGCCTACAGGTGGGTGTTTGTTGGGAGCAGCAGTTGGTGCACATAAAACACAAATTGAGATGCTCTTAAAATAGCCAGTCTTCCTGAAAACTGTTTACAGTTATAAAGCCTTTATCAAGACTCTCCAGAATCTTTATCCTAATTCAACTTTTTAAAAGTGTTACTCGCTCGGCGCCTATAGCTCAACCGGCTAAGGCGCCAGCCACATACACCTAAGGTGGCGGGTTCGAATCCCCAGCCCGGACCCCCCAAACAACAATGATGGCTGCAACCAAAAAATAGCCGGGCCTTGTGGCGGGCGCCTGTAGTCCCAGCTACTTGGGAGGCTGAGGCAGGAGACTCGCTTGAGCCCAGGAGTTGGAGGTTGCTGTGAGCGTGATGCCATGGCACTCTACCCAGGGGGATAGCTTGAGGCTCTGTCTCAAATAAAAAAAAAAAAAAAGAAAAAAGTGTTACTCCATTGTATTTGCCTCCTTATGTACTCTCAATTATTTATTGTTTGTTTGTGGTCGTATCCTAATTAGAATGTGGCTCTTATGTGTATTTTGTATTTATTGAATAGCAACTTGCTGCTCATTGAACTTTTCCACAGCAGAAGCCTGCTTTAGTTCCTATGAATTAAAGTATACATAAATAAACAAATAAATCAATCTGATCCTATTTAGGCCTTGTGCTATTAGACCCTGGGGTGACAATCGACATGTGGGCAGACATGGACCCTATCTAGGCAGCACGTAGAGATACTAAGGAAGGCAGGAACAGTGAACTTTGAAGAGCGAATGCAAAGGACGGGCCAGCAAGTTTTAGGGCATGTGTGGCACATCAACCAAAGTGTAAATGGCTCACAAACAAGTATAAGATGGGAATAGTCAGTGTCAAACTTCTTATCATGACCAATGTGTTAGGTAGATTGAGAGGGGCCTCTGGCTCTCCTGCAGGGAGGTGGGGGGTCAAGCACCCCACTTAAGACAACCACCACAACAAGAGGGGGGAGGAGTGCACTGTCAAACAGAATTCAGTGAACTAACTCTAAAAGCTGCTAGGGAGTTTTGTGGCCAGAAGGACAAGCAGCACAAGGCCCAGTAGGGTCTAGAAGATGACCAAAAGTAACCTGGTCCCTCCTCTGCCCCATCCCCATTGGTTTTCAGAGACTCTTGGAGATCTGCACACATAGTAAAACTCACTTATATCACCAACAGCTGTCCATCAAGTTGACCCATGAGTCACATCTGCCTGGGAGCATCCAACCCAGGAGATGTAAAATGAAATTACTAGCCAGAGCATTCTGTAATAACACGGGCCCATTTGCAGTATGTGGCAAACCATACTTGCTTTTGCTTGATAAACTTGGCCTTTTGCTTGCTTTGCTATCTGTGTGTCTTGTCATTCTTCAACAAAAGCACACCAAGAATTGAGAGTAGACTGCCAACCCAACACAAGGTATCCTTGGGCTCCTTCTAAGCAATAACAAACTCCTGATAATAAGTTCTCAGTGAAGAAAAAAGGACAGTAAAAAGCTGAAGTGGCAGTCAGTGGAAAGGTGTGATTCAGAGGAGGAATGATGGAGATTCAAGTTCTGAGGCAGGTGGGTTCACTGGTGCCATGTGGGCTACTGAATTATGAGTAAGCAGGTGCATTAGGCATGAGCACAAGGACCTCCAGAAGGGCACAAGATAAAAAGGACACAGAGGCTGGCAGCAGTCAGATCATCCAGCCTGTTGTCCTCAGGTGGGCCAAGGGTTGGAGCTATGTCAGGATAGCCATAGACAGCTCCTCAGTGTTTGCCGGGATGGGCCTGAAAGAAGCAGCTCCAGTATTCCCCTGGCCATGCCCCAGGGCAGAGGCTCCCATCTACCTGATGCCCCGTACTAGAAGCTCGGGTTTGCACACACTTGGAAAGCAGGGATGTCCTGTCACCAGCTTCTGCACAGGTAGAAGGGGACAGAAAAGAAGAGACCGTCTGTTCATCTCTGAGAGAGAGAAAAGGAGAGGATTCCTATTCCCCTATCAGGGTAGGAAATCAAAACCATGGAAGATTAAGGGGATGGGGATGGACCCTATCTGGAGACTAACCGGCTCTGCCTCCCAACACTCTTGTCACGGCCACCCTTCCCCCATCTGCACTCGGAGCAGGAAGTCTGCATGCTGGCTTCTCCCCTCCCAGGACAGCAGCCTCAGAACCAGAAATAAACACGGCAGACTTCCTTAGAACTTTCCTGAAGGAGTTCACTGTGCTCCTTCCCTCAACCCCCAGCCACAAGCCTCCTCACATACCTGCAGGCCCCAGCTGAGGAATGTGAGCTTCTGAGAAGGGGTGATTAAATGCTAGGGGTAGGCGGGGTCAGGATTCACTCACCAAAGGGAGGAGAGGAAGGTAGTTCCTCTTTTCTGAGGAGACGTGGCTGAGAAATGAAAGTGAAACTCTTGGGCCGGGTGAGGGGAGGAGGAGCTTCTAGGATAAAAGGGCAAATGGGCCCCCTTCCTAAGGCCTCTGGAGAGAAGGTGGTGCTTTCACCTAATGGTTCTTGAGGGGGGATGGTAGGATTGGCACTGCAGGGGACCCTGGGCAGTGCCTAAAAAGGTAGTTATACCTGGAGAGAATCTACTGGTGTCCAAAAGGGGTCAGAGATATTGCTAGTCATTCTAGAATGCATACAAATAGCTCCCACAACAAAGAATTATCCAGTCTAAAATGTCAGTAGTGGTGAGTTTGAGAAAGCCGATTTTAACCTGTCTCCCAGCTCAGTTGGGCTCCCAGCACCTACGCTCCTACTTTTTTCATGGGTTTGTAGGTACCTCAAGTCAGCCTACTAATTTGAATTATCCTTTCACTTCAATATTCCTTTTGCCTCTTCCACCAAAACACTACATCACCTCCTGGGAGTAAGGGGGGCTGGATGAGGGGTAGATAGTGCTGAGAAGGATTGGCTACAAAGAATCTGGGGGACCTTTTGGAGTATTGGAAATGTTCTAAATCTTTATGGTGCAATGGTTACACAGGTGCACATTTTTTTTTAATAGTTGTGTTATCTATTTATTTTTTGTTTGTTTGTTTTTCTGAGGCTGGGTTTGAACACACTACCTCCAGCATAAGGGTCCGGGGCCCTACTCTTCTGAGCCACAGGCGCCACCTGGTGCACATTTTTAAAACTTACCACACTGTGTACTCAGGCGCCTGCCACAACGCCCAGCTATTTTTTTGTTGCAGTTTGGCCCTGGCTGGGTTTTAATCTGCCACCCTCGGTATAGGGGCACGTGCTCTACCCACTGAGCCACAGGCACCGCCCTTTTCCAATATATTTTTAATATGCTTTGACCACTTTCATGAGAGTCAGTGATTTATTACTTTTCCATTTGAATTTCTTTAACTTGTTCAATATGAGTAGTTTATATGATTTGGTTAGTAAAGTATCAGATGGATTGTTTAATCACTAGCTGAGATGTGTGTATAATCAGTTCTATCTTCATGGCATCCAATTTTTCATCACTAATTTTGTTCATTTGGGCTTTTCCTCCATTTTTTAAGAACTCATTTCTCTACAAATTCAGTGGGCATGCAGCTATATCATATCTTTAAAATCTTGTTATTTTCTTAACAGCTATCTACAACATATAATTTTTTAACAGTAGAAAAAAATTACCACTTTTGGAAACTGTCTTAGGGTACCATGAGTTCCTCAAGTGAGCTCTGCTTCAGTGTGAGTGTGCTCTTCTTCCTTGCTCCAACTTTGCCCCCTGGCTATTCTCAGGGAAACTATAAATTCCAGGTTTTCTGCTCTCTGTCTTTGGTGGCTGTCATGTGGCCATGTTGTCTTGGGGGAAAATGGAAAGACATTAGAAAGGGTTTTGTAGTTTTGTTACTAGAATTTCTTCAGTAAGTTTTTGGTCTCAGGAATTTGAGAATTGAGCCCGCGGGCCACAGATCGGTGATAAAATGGCATTTTGTTGAATTGAGGGGCATGCAGAAGGAGTAAAGAGTACCAGAGCTATTGGCAGACGAGCCATGCCTTGGAAAGTATTGTGGCCCGGGAAGTCCGCTGAGCTCTGGATGGCCCTTGAAAATCTGGAGGAGAGAGTGTAAATCACGTGGGGAATGGTGCTGTAACCATATCAGCAACAGGTCTCCTGGGTGGATAGCCTCCAAAAGGGGGGAGGAGGCCCAGGTTGGAGGTTTCTTGCATAAGTCCCTTGTCTAGGGGTAAATAGTTAGCCCTGAGAGATATTTCGGCCAAGACTTGGTAGACAGAAAAAGACCTTTACAAACTGAATGGATGTTCTAGCAAATGGATGAATGCAGCCCCTCACCTTGGACAAGGTTATTAGGTCTTTGTAGCGGTTTTTGTCTAGGGAGAGGATTAGGGTGTTTGCTCCTTAGTCTGGGTGGAGCCAGCCTAAAGGTTTCAGGCTGCTTCGTTCATGACCTGGCTGGGGCTCAGAGAGTTTGTACCTGGAGATGGAAGTCTGCTATCTGAGCTCACCTGAGCCTGAAGTGGGGGTTCCCTGTCCAGCCCTGAGTGGGAAAATCCTGTATCAATGTTATATCTCAGAAAATGTCTCTCATTTGTAAAATGTAATCATTTGGTTGTTTAAATTGTTGGGGAAACTGAGTCTTTGTCAAAGGATAAGATTATTGCTTTTTTAAACCTTCTAATTGTCAGTTTGGCCGAGTGAATGGGTGACTTCATAGTGAACTGAGATTCTGTTTTGTGGAAAATTTTTAAGAGTAAGAGAAATTAGAAAGAAGAATGGCATGGTATAAAGAAAGCATCTTGTGTGATACATTTTGTCCTGAAACAGAATGATTGTATAAGAAAGTGAAAGACAGGGCAAAAGTTAAAGAAGATTTAGAATGTTCACAGATTGTGCAGGTTAAATGAAAAAAGAATTTGTGTAAGAATTTACATGTGATCCAGTTGACTATGTATTTCCTTTAAAACCTTTCGGCATGTAATCTTATTTGAACCAATATTTTAGGCCTTTTGATATTTGATAAACCTTTCAAAATTAAAAGTCTAAATTTGGGGCTTGGTGCCTGTAGTGCAGTGGTTGCAGCACCGGCCACATGCACCGAGGTTGGCAGGTTTGAACTCGGTCCAGAAAACTAAAAGCACAACTCTAAATTTGGTCTTTTTGAAATATTAAGACCACTGAAAGGAATAGAGAAACAAATTGAACTCGTTTGATTTATTAAAAATGTATAGGAAACATTGTCAAATATGAAATGGTGGTTGATTTTGTATGGGTTATGGTTATATATGTGTGTTCCAATATTGTAAAGCATTGGTCTGCTCTGACATATGTTATCAGTAATAATTTTGATTCATCTAAAAAAAATGGAAAAGGAAATATTAAGAGAAGCTGACGAATTCTCTCAAATTCAAATTTCTGATGTCTTTAGAAATTAAGTACCTTCGGGCTAAAAGCAGATTTTTAGAACTTGCATTAGAAAGTTAACATGTCTATGGGTATTGCTAACCTAAATTCAAACAGAACAAAAATCAGTTATGTGAAACTAGGCTAGTTTGTTATGGCTTTTTGTTTGAAATATTGTTGGTTCTTTCTGTGTTCTGTTTTCCAGAAGTCAAGAAAATAATTCTCTGCCTTTTGAACTATTTGTAGCTTTTCAAGCAATATATGTACTTAGGAGCGGAGTTTGAAACATGTATTTTTCTCTCTCCTTGATTTCTCCAGAATTTGAAAGTCATTAGTATTATTAATTTCTGACAATACAGTTATTTGCATAAGTTCAATAAGAATCTGTTTTGTTCTATAGGACATGATGAAGGCACTGGTATTTTACCAAGGCTTTGGCTGGAATAGCATCTCCAAAGGTGTCCAGAATGCGTTAAGGAATTAAAGTTGACTTTATACGGCCAATAAAGAAAGCCCTTTGGAAAACTGGCCAGATACCCATCACCTTTCCTGATCTGTAGTAAGTAACGAAGGTTGCTTGCTGACGGGTCTGGAAATTGAAAGGTGCTTGGAGACCTCAAGAGAAGAGGAATTTACCCAATGCATACAGGTATCTTATGGCACAGATGAAACCTGGGCTCATGAAAGGCTCTTGAGAAAGTCTGGCCTGAAAATTCCTTATAAAAAGTCCCAGCAAAGCCAAAGAATCTAGATGGCTAATAATTATTCTTACTGCACTTTATGCAAATAATCAGTATACTGAAGGTACAGTTTACTTTGGCAATGGAGTTAGTTCTACTGTAATTTGTCTTTAGTTAAGAGAGAAATTAGAGAGAGAGAAAAATAATTCAAAGAAAAAAAAAAGGCTGTGGCCCACCTGTATTAATTCTCAGCCTTGTCTGTACTGTCAACTCATAAAATGAGTCATAACTGTTTTGAACTGTTAAATGGGACTAAGAGACTGGCCAAAGAGTGTGGTGTGAGTGTGTGTCTCGAAAGGGAGACCTTGGATAGAAATAGGGAACAAGCAAGGGAAGTCCACCCCACTGACTACCATGTTGAAGCACTTTAAGAAGGAATTTGTAGGTGACTAAGATACCAGGCAAGCTAAGGAGACTTTGTGAGCAGGAATGGCCCCCCCTTTGGGATTGGATGGCCGTTGGAGGAACGTTTAGAGAGATCCCTAGTGTCTGAGGTATAGCACAGAGTTGCTGAAAAGGAAGTTCACTCTGAGCAGCTTCCATACAGCTAGTAATGAGCCAACCACCTTGGTTGAGAGGACAGGTTGCAACAGTACGTGTAACATAGGGACAGGAAGTGAAAGTGCTTTCCACCCGATCTAGAGTACTGGTGCTGAAGATATTGGCAGATCTGGTACTGAAAGGCATTGTTGCAGAGACTGAGAAAGGGACACAGAAAACTACCAATTTGGCTGGAGTAAATGAGGTACTCCAAGGAAAGACCGAGTGTCCAGGCCAGTTCTATGAGAGGTTATGTGAAGCGTTTCAGATGTATACTCCCTTTGACCCTGAGTGCCCTGAAAATCAGAGGATGGTTAATATGGCCCTAGTTAGCCAAAGCGCTGAAGATATATGGTGAAAACTGCAGAAGCAGGAGAGGTTTGCAGGTATGAACACCTTGCAACTCCCTGAAATAGCACAAAAGGTCTTTGTGAATCGGGAAGCAGTAAGCCATAAGAAAGAGGACAGGCGCATAAAGCAGAGGGCCTATCTCATAGCTGCAGCTTTGAAAGGCACAAGAGAAGGAGCCCCTCCCTTTCAAAGATGACAGGGTCGGCTCGGCGCCTATAGCTCAA